CATGCTTGGCTCGCGGAGAGATAGTGGGAGCAGGTTAAGGTGTTACATTGGATATTATTTTGTATTCATATTGCTGTCCTAAACCAAGAGATTTAAGATTTTTTTTTTTTTGTCTTTATATAGTTTATTTTCTATGGATTTAGTGTTGTCATGGTGTCGCCATGGCGAGCGGGGCCGGTCTATGACTTATAACATGCTTGACACGCGAAGAGATGGTGGGAACGGGTTAAGGTGTTACATTGGATATAATTTTCGTGTTCACATTGTTTTCCTAAACCCAAGAGATTTACGATTCTTTTTGCCTTTATGCAGTTTATTTTCCTTGGATCCAGTGGTCATGGCATCTCCGATGCTATGACATCTCGGTGCTTTCTAAGAAGTGTTGGGACTCGTCACCTTGCCTTATTAGACAAGACGGGGTGGCTACAACTTGGCAACACTATGAAGATGTTATGGCGATGCCACGACACTGTCCAGTAGGGGTGGGCTAGGTTCGAATATTTGCAAATATACAGATATTTGATATTCGAACCAAAATTTTTGGTTAACCGAAAATATTTGCAGTGTTTGCAAATAATTCACAACGAACCGAATTGAAAAACAAGTATATTAAAAAATACTTAAAAGGAATCACAAATAAACAACACAATTACCAACTAATTAACAAAAACTGAACTCAATCGAAATAAAATAAACTAGCAAGTACAAAGAATGAAAAAAATAATCGGTTGAATACTAAGAATGAAAGACCGAGATGAAGATGCAATGAAGTTTTTTGGAAACCTACAAAAGAGCCGAAGCTGATAACGACGGTGATTAGACATTACAACTGTGGTTTCATCGGCGTTGGTGTGTTTGTGTGTTCTTGTGGCGGACAGTGGGAAGTGGTATCGGACTATCGACGTCGATGTGTTTGTGACTTTTTTTGTGGTGTGGCCATGTGGGTGTGCGTAGGGTTAAGGGTTTGATTTAAATTTTGAACTTGGGAAATAGGTATTGAACTAATGGGTATTGGGTGGCATTTGCCCATTTTGTAATTATATTTTATATTTCAGCTCAAAAGCCCAGGTATGAATAATTTATATTATTAGTAATATAAATTTAAAAATGTATAAATATATTTGGTTCAGTTACCGAAAATATTAAAAACCAAAATTGAATTGAATCAAACAAATATCAAATATATGATATTTTTATTTGAACCAAATTTATTCAGTTAAACAAAAATTTGGTTCGGTTCGGATTTCTTGCCCACCCCTGCTGTCTAGGCTAACCTAGAACATTGCTGGTCTTTAGCCCAACCCAGCCCAAGCCTTAGGTCCCAAACTTCTATAGTGAGTGTTCTCATTCACGGATCATACTTTAATATTTTTTATTTTGTAATATGCTTCAGTGCACTCACTCTGTAGTGCTATTTTTTTTTTATACTATTATAGCTTAGTGTATTACATTATTATTTATTGTATAATTATTTATTAGTAGAAATATCATAATTTAGTTCTTATAATATATAATTTTATAAACATTGTGTTGTGTTTGCTATTTGGTTGGCATGGTGGTAGTCGCTCCACAAAAAGGTTTCATTACGACCTAGCTTTACAATAGGTAAATGTGGGTTTGTTTAGTTATGTTTTGTAAGTGTTTTGAATTATTATGATAATAAGAATTTGGATGGGAAGTAAGTTTTGAAAGATGTAATATTTTGAATATAAGATAATTTTTTGGATATGATATTTTAAATAAAAATAGGTATTTGATCTGATGTTTTTTAAGAGTAATTTTTTTATGAATATTGTGAAAACAAAGTTGAAAACTCAAGTAAACAAAGCCTTCACTTTTTATGCCTTCGGCGAATTTCTTGGATTTGGGCTTTGGCTTTGAGCTTTTCATTCAATAGAGGTTCCTAGTCCTCTAGATGAACCAAGAGATTTGAGACAAGCTCTATAAGGCGATTGAGTGTTGTGTAAAGAACATAGTGGGGCTATTTTTAACGTGAAATTATTGGTAGTTATTTTTTGTTCTTGACAAAGTAAACAATTGGTACAAAATGAAGTTTTCTTCTATGGATATCTTGTTTGCCCTCTTTGTTAATAACCTTTAAGAAATCTCTCTCAGTGTCTTATCTACTAGCTTACTGCTAAGGGTATTTATTCAGTTATGTGATTGGCTTTGGATTTAAGATAGGGAAAATAAATGAGGACGGTCATTTTTTGGCAAGAATAGGCAAGCAAACATTAGAGCACAATTCATGAATCATCATGGTCATTGTAGACAAAGTAATATTTTCTTTGTAAAACTTGATTAACATAATACACTTATAGACAATATATGTTATATAATTAGTCACTAACTAATATATATATATATATATCTAACAATATATATAATACTCTCCCTTGAGCTGGGGCATGAATGTCTTGTCATAGATATTTGAGTCGAGTGGTACGTAAAGCCTTCGTTAGTAGATCTTCCAACTTGGTCTTTTCTTTTTACATGGCCTGTAGCTACTACACTTTGTTCGATCTTCTCCCAAATTAAATGACAGTAAACTTACTTATGTTTGGTTTACTCATGGAATACCAGATTCAATGTTACGTGATGAGTTGTTTGATTGTTACACCATAATTGTGTTGGAGTTGAGATTTGAAAGCCTTACTCTGTAGAAACTGGCGAATCCAAATAATCTCACATATGGAATGCACTATTGCTTGATATGACTCTAACACCTTATCTAGATATCACATTTTATTTCTTGTTTTTCCACGAAACCAAGTTACCGCCCACAAATATACACTATTCAGATATTGACCTATGATCAATTTTATAACATGCCAATCAACGTAAAAAAAACCCCACCCACAAATATACAGAGATTGACTTATGACCATAGTTCTTGTACAAGTCCTCGAGTACCTTTTAAATATTCCAAAATTTGTTCTAAAGTCTCTTAATGTTAGACTGTAGATGCACTCTGAACTGACTTACCACATTAATAGGATAAGTTATGTTTGGCCGAGTTACGGTGAGATAATTCAATTTACCTACTGATCGTTCACATTTTTCAGGTTCCATAAAGGCTTTTCCTTTTTTCGTAAATATCTAGTTCGGTATCATATTAGCACTGGATGGTTTAGCTCTAATTTTTTCTCATTTCAGTCAACAATTCAAGAATATATTTTCATTGGGAGAGGAAGACGTGATACTTCTTCTGGATCACCTCAATTCTTAGAAATATCGTAGCCCACTAAGATCTTTAGTCTAAAACCATGAGTTGCCAGTGAATAAGGTCTTCTAAAGCGGAGATGCACTCGTGTCACTCCCGGTGATAATAATGTCATCAACATATAATACAAGAAGAGTAATGTCGTAATTTGTATGGTAATGGTCTTCATAAAAATTATCCGGTTGTTCACCATCCACCGAGATCTCTTCCTGTTTCTTATCTTATTCACCTACTATATCTCATTGAATGTTTTTACATTATCATATTCTTGTACTTTATAAGACTACAAGTACCACATTTTCTAGGATAGAGAATATATTTGTAATGATATTTTTTTTTTTTAATTCTGTTTTCCAAAATTTCTATTCATTTGTCAAATGGCAGAATAATGCGAAAAGCTTTAAAACTAATATTGTGTCGATTTGAATCAACAAAAAGTAACTATAGTAAAATGAATGTTATCAACAAAAAGTAACTTCAGTAAAATGAATGTTATGCATGGTTTATTTAGGGTGTGTTTGGTTGGCTAACTTTATTTGATTTCTACTACTGACAAACCCCCCCCCCCCTCCCCCCCCCAACCCATTCTCCAAAACATCAAATCAAATACTATCTATTTTCTATTTTTTATATTACATTAAAAATCAATTTTACATTCAAAACATCACATCAATTGTTATTTATATCACATCAAACAACTATTCAAATTCAAAATTTTACTATTCAAATTAAAATCCAATCCTCCAAACAAACACACCCTTACATAATAAGCCATATAAAAAATATATTCTAAAATCCAATATCTAGTTCATTAATGTTTTTAAGCTTTCTGTAATTTATTTCTCTTTTCCCAATGGCCCTGAGGCTTTCTGCAACTCTTTTTACTAAATAAAATTATGTTTCTCTTCTAAGTTAAATGTTCTTAAGCATAGGTAGTACTGCTGCTTTTCTGTTCTGAGCAAAAAAGTAAAAAAAGTATTTTCCCACAAAAAGTGGTTGCAATTATCTATCTAAACCCATCAGTATGGAGTTTTCTGCTCAATATAGTTATATTAATAAAGTTTGCTGCTTATGTTAGTTGCCAGATTCACTTAATCAAGGACAGTGAATTATGATGATGATCCATATAGCTTATGATCCATTGTGATTAGATAAAGGCTTAGCTGAGTATGTTAGATTATTCTCTCTGAAGTGGATAGATTGTGATTTGTGAGATAAAGATAAAATAGGATGTGACATAAACTTCAATTGTTATCTTGCCATTAAGTTCATTTTAATTCAAGATTGATAGTGAAGTACTAGATATCCTGAAAGTTGACATTAGATTCTCTTTGATGTGTTTACAGAAACTTTCCAAACCAGTATAGTGAGATTAATGTGTAAATGATATGTTGCATATACTTTGACGGTTATCTTGATATTCACTTCCTTTCAAACTAACACACACATACATGTTTATCATTCTAAATTTATCCTAAAAACTATCATTGTACTTACATATTGTTATATACACATCCTTGTACAATAATATGTTAAAAAAATAAAAAATAAAAAACAGAGTCAATCTTATCAAATACATGCAATCACAAATATTATGCTATTCATATGATTTGCATATCAACCAACACACCAATAAAGCTGACAAAATACACAGAAGTCTTTATGTGTTGACTCCTTGAAATTTTGATATATTTTGGATTGGCTATCTTGTAAGTGCTGCCAGAGATGGCGATTTATTTCATCTCAACTGCTCATGTCTTCCAATTGCTACTTTCAGGGATTTTCATACTGAAGTCATATTTGGATATATGGAGACAATTATGAGTCTTGTTCTAGAAGAAAGTGAAGATATCTCCTCAGACCTTCTCGGTCCAATTTTGGCTACTTTGAAAAGGACCAATAAGGTTGCCTTTGTTCTTTGCCAATTTTCACCTACTTTTGTCCCCTCACATGTTCAATGTGTTTCTGACAACAAATGCACTTCTAGGCTGTTTTACCAATTGCAAAGAAATTGGCTGTGACAGTTATTCAGAATACAGTGGGCAAGATAAGACCTTATTTGACACAAGCAATGAAATCCTTAGGTGCTTCTGTGTGTGACTTTGATGAAGTTGTAGCCATCCTTTGTCAAGAGGATAATGGTTCAGAGAAGCATGATATTCTATATGACTTTTATCAGCTGGTATACTTCTGTCTGTTTACATTTATAGAATGTTTACTTTGTGTGAGAAATTTTAAATCACGTTATTAAGTATGTCCCACATAGAATGTTTTCCTTCCTAATTTGTACCTTGTAGTACAATGCTGTTGATGACATAATGTTTTTCCGAACTGTAATTTGTCCTAGTGAATATTTGGAGATAATTAAAAATGTGATATAAGGGATTAAAAATTACGCATCAAATCAGTAATGAAGTGTGCGCTAACTTCAATTGTAATCTAACTACAAGTTGTTGAACCTTAAAGTGTTTTGGATTATTTGTAGTAGGATCACCTTACATGTTCTGCCAACTGACCATTACTTATGAATATAACAATGTTTGCTTTTGCAGTATGGTATGATTGAGTATGGTCCATTTTATGTGAATGCATTGACTGGTTCCATCATTGTTTTTTAGAAGGAATAGATAATTTAATAACTGTTTCTGTCATTTTGTAAGCTTGCAACCGTCCAACCCAAATCAGAAGTGCATAAGGAGGCTGTAAATGTAGCATCTCCAATCCAAACTGACAGTTTTACCAACGAGAGCCAAACTAACGAGGCTAGCTTGGATAAGAGGAAAGGGAATTCGATTAGCAGAGAGAGGGTCTCTCTTGATACTGTTTCTCATAAACTATCTGAAGGAGAGTCTGTTTCTGTAGCAAATAAGCAGAGCTGCTTGGGGAAAAAGCAAGCTGACGTGGGACAAACATTGACTGATAAGGGTACATGCAGTATTGATGATGAGTGTGCAAGTGATTCAGTGGCAAAGTCACTCGATGAGATAGAAAGATTAGGGGATGCTAGTGATAAGATGGAGGATTCATCCTCATTGAGGAAGGTAGATGGAAGAAAAAGTGGGCGTGGGAGACCTTCACTTGAGTCTATAGCAAGAAAAGAGAGCAGAAAAGTATTTTGGTTTCCACCAAAACTTTTTATACATTTACTTTAAATTATTCTCCCATATTAATTTATTTTAGGGTTCTCTGATTTTACTTTGGTTGCTTATCTCATAGGACATTGTGATGAGTTCAAAAGAGGTTCCCAAGTCTTCTGCAAGAGAAGACAACAAAAGAGTATTTCAGTTTCCACTATATTATATATTTTATCTTACTTGTTTTACTAGGTAAGTGTAATTTTTCTATTTATCTAATTTATTTTTTTGTTCCACCTCTCATAGCAAACTATGACAAGTTTAAAAGCAGCAAGGGAACCAGGGATCTTGGAAGAAAGCAGAAAAGTGAATCCCAAGAGGAAGCGAACTCCAGACACAAGAAAAGTACGTACCTGAACTTCTTAAAATTTTATTATCCAATGTAGTTTGTTTTATGTTTTTTCATCAGTACCTTCAAAATGCTTTCGCTAATGGGAGATTAAATTTTAATTTTAATTATTGTGCTTGGTGAGACAATGAAGTTGTGGATAAAAATTCTGTGTGCAAATTTGGCTGATATATATCTTAATTATGTACAATTTATTTCATTTAGTTTTCTCTCTGCATCTCCTTTTTTCTTGGTTCATTTTATGTTAATCTGCTTCTTATTTGTGTCTTCTATGTGAAATGAAAGGAGATGAATATTGCATGAATTTATGGACAACCTAAATGAGATAGAAAGATGTAGAGAACCTAGGACAAAGAAGAAGAATGAAGTGACAAAATACTGGTAGATAACACTCCTCTTTAAAGTGAAGTGTACATATCATAAGCTCCAAGCTTGTGGCATAGTTATTGCACTTGTGAACCCCATGGTCTTTGTGAATACATCAACAACTTGATTTTTGGACTAGAAGTAGGGAGCTTGAATGGGACCTTAATATTTCTCATTCACTAAATAACAATCCATCTCAACATGTTTAGTTTTTCATGAAAAACTGGATTAGAACAATATGTATGACAACTTGATTGTCGTACATTAGTTTCATGGGAGATGAATGCTAGAAAATCAGTATTTGTAAGAAGAAATTTTAACCAAATTAATTTGTAAGTTGCATATGCCATGGCTCTAACTTGGATTCTATGATAGAATGAGCAAACTATAATTTTCTTCTTTTCCCATGATATAGTGTTTCTGCTTAAAACATGCAAGGACATGAAGTTGACCTTTGATCACATGACACGGCCCACCCTACATTTGTATATCCCTTTAGAGGAAAATGGCCCATGATTATGATATAAAAAACCTTGCCTTGGTTATCTTTCAAGTACCTCAAAGTTCTAATTGTAGTATCCTAATGGATTGTTCAGAAGTGATGACATAAATTTAATTTCATTCATGACAAGGAAATATTTGGCCAAGTGACAATTAGATAATTCATGCTGTCAATAAGTCTTCAATACTAAGAGAATTGGGAGAGAAAACCTTGTTTCGTATTTCTCGCATTGAATGTACAGAATTCCAAGGATATATACAATTGCCCTTGGATGCTTCCACCACTAATCAACCTAACAATCTAACAAACTAACAGAACATAGTCCAATAGAGGGGCTTAAAAAGACAAATACTAATGGACCTAAGAGACTAAACTAGTGTACATAAGAAAATATATTTGGTCCAATCATTGATATGAGCTTACTACGTATCTTCTTCATCTTCATTAGCTTCTTCCTTACATTCAGCTTTGGTAGATTCAATTGATGCCTTCTTTTCTTTTCCCCCATTTTCTTTTAATATCTTGACATTCTCTTCTCAAGCCAAGTGCAGCCATGCTGAGCTTGGTGCGAAGAACATTGAACAAACGTCCTAGAAGCCCTTTGGTAAATATGTCAGCAAGTTGTTGCCTACTGCTAACATGAACCAGTAGATTTAACCCAATCAAGTAGTGGTGTCTAATTAAATGACAAGCAATCTCTATGTGCTTAGTTCTTTCGTGAAAGACCGGATGTTGGGCAATGTGTAAGGCTGACTGATTGTCACAATGTAAGGGAATTGGCTGAACCACTAGGATGTTTAAGGCTTTCAGTAAATATGAGATCCATAGCAACTTACCGGTTGTAGTGCTCATGCGCCCTATATTCTGCTTCTATAGAGAAACTTTTTACAGTAGTTTGTTTCTTAGCTTTCCAAGAAATAAGATTTGGAATATGCAGTAGCTTGTTATACACTTTCTTGTATCAGGATAGGTGCCCCGGTCTACATCACAATAAGGCTCCAATTGCAATGAAGAACAAAGAGTCAAATAATAATCCATAAAATTCAACATTCCCTTTAGATATATGAGAAGGTGGATAGCAGCCTTCCAATGCTGTGTTAACGGCTTGTTCATAAATTGACTTAGTTGTTGCAAACAAACACACCCTAAATATCCACTTACTTCCTATCGCACTCATTCCTTTGGGTAGGTAAGTAAGTTCCTAAGTTCCATTACTCTTAAGTGCTTCTATTTCTTCTTTTTTTTCCTCTGTTTTGTATTGCCTTTGGAATCTAACCACTAATCAACCTAACAAACAATTTAACAAACAGAGTATAGCCCAATAGATGGGCTTAAAAAGAAATAAATACCAATGGGCCTAGGAGACAAACACTAAACGTACATAAGAAAATATATTTGGCCCAATCATAGATATTAACGTTTCTTCTTTTCATTAACTTCTTCCTTGCACTCACCTTTGGCAGATTCAATTGAGCATTCTCTTATTATCAACCATTTCTTTTAATATCTTGACAAATACCATTACAAAACTTTCAAGCTTTCCCATCTCTCCATGTCGAGTTTAATATATAGTTCTATGAGATTATCTACTAATTTAGCGCATAATAGCTCTATTTCTTTCAAAAGATCAAGTACATATTTTATGACATGCAAATTTCCATCCTAGATTGTGCAAGTTCAATACTAGGAAAGTATCCAAGTTGTCAAAGGTCTTTCGTCTGAAATTTGATATAGAGAAAAAACTTTAATAATTGGATTCCAATAGAGTTATCACTTGTAATCACAATATAATCAATGTAGACCATTAAAAGAATTTTATAGTGTTATCACTTGTAATCACAATATAATCAATGTAGACCATTAAATGAATTTTTTCTACATTAGTGTTATAATGAAAAATTAAATAATCAATTCCACATCATTGCAGCCAAATACATTACTATTGTAGTTGCATTGTCCCAACCAATAGTCTTGATGATTTATTTAAACTATATAGCGCTATATTTAATCAACACATCAAAGGAACCTCATTTTAAGCAACAAAGGGTGTGTTTACTTGGTGATTTTTTCTATTAATATTTTTTAATTTAGTTTTATTTTTGGTTTGAATAATAGTTTGGATGTAATGTGATGTTTTGTGAGAGAATATAATGTATTTTTTTTAGGAAAGAGTAAAGGTTGCATAGTAAAAAATATGAAAGAAAATCTCGAAGTAAACACAAGTGCTCCATATAAGCAATCTCGCCTAAGTCACCACAAAAAAATATTTAATATCTCAACCTGATGGAGAGAGGCATGGCTGCTAGGCAACAAACATATAAACATAGGTCATTTGTGCAACCAAAGAGAAAGTGAGTATAATTCATGCTATAAACGTATGTGTAACCTCTAGCTACAAATTGAGCCTTCAAATGAACAACACTATTATAATTAAACATGATAATAAAGACCTAATGAAATGCAATAGTCACATTAGATGGTGAGGAAGATGTTAATATATAATTTTATAGATATTTTGGTTGATAATATTAAAATTTGTTTGTTATTATTTAGCCATATCCACTATATTAGGTTATTATTTGTATTTATTCTTTTTATACCATGCCTATAAATAGAAGGTGATTCCATTATTAATTAATAACTTTAAATTTTTTCTAAAATATAACATAGTATCACAGTCTTTTTTTTTTTTTACCGAATCTGAGATACTCAATCTACCTCTTAAATATAAGATCCTCTACCATTACAAAATAGTTGGAACTTGTTCTAATTGTGTTTGTTTGTCACTTTCTTAACACGTTTGACCTATACCACCACTGCTACCATATTCTTGACTCTGAGATAGTACTAGCCATCGAACGCTATCATTAGAAGCAGCTTACGTCAATCACATTTGATCAGTGATTGGTTAACATGGTCAACATTTTTGTTGATGCTGACTTTGGCCATGCATAAAGGTCTATCTGGCATACATTGCTGAGATTTTCTGGCCACAACATATTGGGAATATTCTGACTTATTTGTCAAGTTAGTTTTTAGTTTTTTTTTATCAAGTTTTTGGTTCGGTCAATGCTCACATGTCCAGAGTTCCTACCAAGGTTTTACTTATTTGGGTTTAGCGTTACTGTTGTAACAAAGGATTGCCGGCGCCAATACTGACGTTGCCACTAGAAGTCTTAAGTTGGCCTAATACAAACAAAAATTTTAGTCCATTATATTCACGAACGAGCTAAAGCTTGTTCACGAATGTTTGATAGTGTGTGTTAATAAATTATATCAATTTTTATATTTAATAAATATATACATTTATAATACTATACATTATTCTAATTTTTTACACACTTATTAATAAATAATAATTAATTGAATTTAAATTTAATTAAAATAAAATAAAATAATTTAAAAAGCTGATTTGAGTTGAACATGAAAAAAAATTGCTTAACGAGCTAAAATCAAACAAAAACTTCAGGTGTAATCTCTCTATGAACAAGCATGTGCCAAGCTCAAGTCCAGTTTAAACATGAAATGCTAAGCTCGTTCAATTTTTAGTTTAACTGCTTGCAAAAATTCTAATTTGGCCAAAATCCTCTTTTTTTTAGGAATTAGTGCTAGCACCGACACTAGTGCAACAAAGGATCAATTACAAAATAATATAGAAACGGCAATGAAGAGCAAAGTGAGGTGGGAAATACAAGACTTGTATCATTCTATATGATAATGTAAATATCAAAATCGTTGTTTAGTGAAGTTGAAGTAAAAGATGTCAGGTGAGAGTCAATATCATGTATTGAGTGGTGAGTAATACAAGACCCATATTCTTTCATACGACGATAGAAACATTATAAAAAACATTGTCTAGTGAAGATAGGTGAGAATAAACATCTATTGAGTGGTGAGATCTATGAGTAGAGATCAAGTTGAAGAAATATGGTTAAAGGATTAGAAGTGAGATGGGGTTCAATAGAAGACTCCAGAGGACGAGTGAGAGCTGGAAAAGCATCTTGAGAGAAGGGGTTCAACGGAGGTGGATGTTCAAGAATTAACATTTGACAGCATCAAAGATAAAGAAATAGTTCAAGGATGGAATAATGCAGTCATATTCTATGTTAAGTTGGAAATGTCTAGGAA